TGTGGCTTTGAGATTGCCCAGGAGAAGAGGGGACTTCGTTTGCATCAGGAGTCATACCTACGAGATCTTTTGGCCAGATATCCTGATGTCAAGTCAGCTCAGAGCCCGCTGCCAGGTGTCTTGGATGAGACTGAGGAGACGAATCCTGAGGTTGCAGAGGTCCGAAGGGCGCAAACCTTGGTTGGAGAGTTGTTGTGGCTGGCAGTGAGGTCGAGGCCAGACATCTCCTTCGCCGTGTCGTGGATGGGGAGGCAGGTGACACATTGTCCATGTCGAGTCCAACGATATGGAGCGCAGGTCCTGGGGTTCTTGCAAACCACCATGGGTTTGGGCCTGTTGTATGAAGCTGCATCTGATGAACCCCAGTGGGAGGAGAGCAAGGGCATTCACATGTATTCGGATGCCTCATTCGGCCCCCCTGGATCTCGCGGTCACCAAGGCCTTATAGCCATGTACTCAGGTGCTCCTATACAGTGGGAAAGCAAACAGCAGCCCTTTGGCACCCTATCTAGCTCAGAAGCAGAGCTCATGGGGTATTCTGATGCCTTAACCATGGGTGAGTCGTGTGCCTCAATCGTTGCGATTTTGGAAAGTGGTGATGCGAATGAGGTTATGGACTGTGTCCTTCATGGTGACTCGCAGTCTGGCATCCGCATTTTGCAGTCACCGGACGGCCCATGGCGGACGAGACATCTCAGGCTGCGAAGCTTCGTGTTGCGGGAGAGAATCCGCGCGGGATGCTGGCAGGCACGTCACGAGCCGGGAGCATCGTTGTCGGTGGACCTATTGACAAAGTCCATCGTCAGTCCGCCTTCGTGGAGGAGGTTCCGGGAGTTCACTGGCTTGTGTGCTGGAGCAACCCAGGCGAAGGAAGCGGAGGACTGTGTGCAGGTCAAGAGGCTGATCGGGCTTCTGAGCGGGCTGATAGGCATTTCATGTTGGCAGCCAGTTGATGCGGTTGCCAAGGTCGCCAAAAGTGTGACCATTGCAGCGGTAGCTTCAAGTGTAGCTTGGCTGATGGGTAGGAAGGGTGGAGATGACCCCAAAAAAGAGGGTGAACCGGCATTTGCTCGGACAGGGGCGTCCAAAGAGGGCAGTGTCGAAAGAAGAAAATGTCAAGAAGAGACAAGGGAAAATGAACCTGTCTCCAACTCCGGTCGCGACTTTAGCCCAAAGGGCTCCCCGGGCGGTGCATCTGCGTGCGAGCCATGGATTCGGCAGCTTCCGCGGGTGAGTGCTTTGAGGGCACCAATCACCCATGTGGGACTTGGCACGGATCTTCCATGGGAGCTGATGAGGTTTAGTACGCCGCCTACTGGAACAGACAGGTGGGAATGTCTTGGTGTGGGCCTCGGTGGTGGTGAATGGTGGGTCAGGGTGCTGAAGAAGTTCCGAGTGCGAACCTTCCATCCATTGCATCGTGGAACCCCAATGTCGATAGCAAGACTCTCGGCGACCAGAGTCACGGTGGCTTTTTCGCGGGGAAATCCGCGAGAAGTTTGGAAGCGAGTGGTCATCACCGATGACTGGATCGAGAACAGGGGCTCAGATGTGGAAGGGCTTCATGAATGGTGTGGCTACACTTTCTTCTACGTGAAGTTTGAGGCCCTCCCAGAAGGAAGAGCAGGAAATCTCGACCGACGTGATGTCAGGCCGGGACCACTTCCCCCACCGGGATCGGTGGCCGCAGACGGGGGCTATGGTGGCTCCATTCCAGGAAGGTCAAGAGCAGTGCAACGAGGTCGAGAGGCCTTACAAGGTTCAGAGACGATAGAAGGCGAGGAAGTCACCTACGGTGGAAGGGGCATCAGTGCTTGTGACATTGAGTCCATCGAGGGTGGCACGAAGACGGGCTATGAGCTAAGGCTCCAAGGACGTGAGCATCGGGGGGAGAGCGGAAACAACTCCGGCCAGGTGACGAAAGGGACGTCCCAAGCGGCCAATTCAAGCGAACACTTCCCTCCCGAAGCTGACCAATGGCCAATTTGGCTTGGAATTGAGACGGCAGTTCAACAACATCCTCACCTTGATGGTGAACGACAAGATGAGGACTGTGAGTCGGACGGAAGCTTTGAATTTCTGCGCAGCACTGGATGAAAAAACCTAGTGCCGACGCATGTTTGAATGATGGTACAACCATCAGGGGGAGTGTGAATCCCTGCATTTTCACTTGATGTGATCATAGGTGTGACATACACCACTTAGCACCAACAAACGCTGTTCATGGCTCAAGAAAAGCATCGTCCGTTTTTGGAAACTCAGTTTCACTTTTTTCCCTAGGAGGGTACAGCAAATATTGCTGACGGGTAAAAGTTCTCATAAGTGCAGAACAGGAAAAAAACACAAAAGCAAATTGCGCTGCCTTTGCATTTTCATTCGCTTTTGTTTTGCTTTTTTTCCGCTTTTTTTCCACACAACATTTTTTTGATGGTTGGTCATGTATGGCTGCCATTGCTCAACACAACACTAGTGACGCCGATGAATTGCCCTGAGGAACGATAAACCCATTGACCACACGCTTTGGGCTTTTCCACACAGGCGGATATTCTGCGTCGAGATTGATTTGTTTCTTTCCTAGCTTGTTGAGGGTCCCAACGCGACCACAACTGCCACTAGCCCAATTTGGGCCTTCCTTCTTCCCTTCCTGTTTCAGCTTTCTGCTTGCCCTTTCTTGCTTGAATCTCACGCGCGCCGCAAATAACTGGCCGAACGCAAGTGCGCAGGTGTGGAGGTCTTTGGGCGCGAGTGGAGCTTTGGCGGGGGGCGGCGGAGCGGGTGTGACGGGGGTTCATTGGGCCCAGCCCAAAAAAACACCCCGTCCACCGCCACCGCACCAGTGCGACTGGGCGACATTTACGTCGTGCCACTTTGATGGGTTCGATGTAGGCAAAACTGCCAGATCCTTGCGTCCTTCCAGGTAATACTGGGCACAACCACGCTCAACGTGGAGGAGTTCGAACTCGCAATGCCGTGACGTGGCCACAATCAGATCATCGGCCTAGGAAAGGAGGGACAGTTCCTTGAATCAATCCAAGCCCAATGGCGACAGCACCAAGAGAGTTCTTGACGCTTTCCGGCAACACCAACACTTCGCACATGTTTTTGGCAACAATTGCTTGTGTCAAATCTGAAACAAGACAAAGCCAGAAAACTGAGGTGGGTTCAGCAACGTTGGCCGGCGTCGTCGTACAGCGCAAGCTCCAGGTTGGGTACTTGCGGGGGGGCTTGGGGGTGGGCCTCAGACCTAGTTAAGTTGAGAAATTTCGGGTTCCATCGCTTGCGTGCACATTCTGCATTTATACCACGTAGTTTGGGACTTTCCAATGGACGAGCTCGAGCGTGTCTGCCCGGAAGAGGCGACAGTGATGTTTTGGGGTAATATGAAATGGGTTGGTAATGGTTGGCATTACAATTCCACTTTCCATTGAGATTCAATGAAAAAATGCATATCCGCCCGCGCGCTTTCTCTACAGAATGGGACATGTTGACCACTGGCTTAAGGCATTTTTATTAGGACCTAACCTGCACTTTGAGGCTTTGCAGTTTGAGAGTGCGCCACAACATGCTGATTTGCAGACTTGTGATTTTAATTGTAGACAACTGTGGATCCTTACTATTTAAGGTGGTTTTGGACACGCGGGAAAGCATGTTCCATAAAACTTTGCATTGTGCTGGGGATTTGGCAGGGGGATGCAGGGATCGCATGCGCGAACTCTTCAAAAGTGAGGCGCTCTACAACATGGGTTGTGACTTGTTATTTTGAAATCTAGCTGGCTTGCAAAAAACTTGCATCTATACGGAAAGTATCATGCTCGGCTTCGAGCGCTTGTAGGTCATTTCCTGACCAGACCTCTATCCATCCCCAATTGGAACCTGCCCATTTTGTAGAGCGTGTTGTTGGCCCCAAGTCCCCTTGTGCTGGGCATGTTGTAGACACTTGGTTTTTACATCTTTGTTTTTTAATTTTTACAACCTTTCGAGACAAATTCTGCGGTTGCGACCTTCTTTCGGGGAAGAGCCTCCAATGTACATAGAGTAATGGCAGAATGCTTAGTGCAACCTATCCCCGGGCAACTCACAGAGGATTGAAAACGCACCAAATACATCCAAATACGACAGGAACTGCCACAACTTCACTGAGTTGTTTGCGAAGGACCTTGGGGTTGAAAGCCCCCCACGATTTGGACTGCAGCTCGGCACTGCAACTGTTCTCGCTAGTTGAAACCGCTTGAGCTGCAAGTTCTGTCAACAATCAGGGCAAATCTTTGCAAGCTCTGTATTTTTGTAGAGCAGGTCTATAAGGACTCTTGTAGAGGCGGAACATTTCTTCCCTGTTCCATGCTGGTTCAGGTTTGGAAGCGGCGATCCCCTGGCGCCGGCGCGAGGCGTGGTTTCGACCGTGTGCAATCAGTTCCCGAAAACCAATGTGGTGGGATTATGTTGGGCGATGGCAGCCATACATGGCCAACCATCAAATAGTTTTTTTTGTGAAAAGGGTGAAAAAAAGCAAAATACAAGCAAATGAAAATGCAAAAACAAAGCAAAAGCAAAGAAAAAAGCAAAAACAAAGCAAAACAAAAAGCGAAAAAACGAAAAAAAGGCGACAATAAAGCAAAAAAGTGCGAAAATAAAGCGAAAAAAGTGAAAAAACCGCGACAAATATGTTTTTGCTGTACCCTCCTAGGAAAAAACGAAAAAAACGAAACAAAAGCGAAAAAGATGCGAAAATAAAGCGAAAAGAAGTGAAAAAAACGACAAATACGCACAGCTACATTTTTTTGCATTTTTGTTTGCTTTGCCTTTTGTTTTTTTGCTTTGTTTTTGCTTTATAAAACTATTTTGGCTCCTTGTATCTATGGCTGGCGTGCCCGACATAATGGTGGGAGTTGCCAGCTCCCTCAAATAGGAGATGAAATCCAATCCCAACATACAGCAGATCGCTTGTCCTTGATGTTTTGACCCCTTCCCTGTCCAGTTGCAACGTCGAGTGGCTTCAAGAGGTGATACAGAGTTGGACGCGCGGTCCTTCAGGTGTGGCCCTTATTTCACGCTGGGTCTGCAGCGGCTGGAAAGTATTTGTAAACTAGATGTGATGTCATTTTCACATACTGTAGCAACTGTTTTGAAGAAGGTATGTGATAAACTCCGTTTGTGTGGGTTTTATCTATGCTTGGCGTGAGTCATGGCTGCCACGGGGTGTCATGTAGTTCTTCCCTCCCCAAGGTTGCACGCCAGCGCGTTGCTCACAACCGGTGAGGCAGGATTCGACGCCGCAGGGATGACCGTCGTGCTCGTGCTGGCTTCCAGACTTTGGTTCAAAGTGACTCTCCAACCCAATAGCGATGGCCTCCAACCTAATGGCGATGGCCTCCAACCTATTGGCTTTCCAAAAGGATGGAAGACATAATGGTTGCATGCAGTGGCTCCGCCTGCGCAGGGCCGAGCAAGCGAAGGCAGCCTCGGCGTACCTCTTCGAAGAGACTGGGTCCGGGGTGGCTGGGGGGTTCTTTTCTGATCTGCGGAATCTTCATGAAGGTTTTTTTGACCTGCTTTCGGGGTCGGTAGCACATGGAAGTGTTCAGTTCAACGTTTGTTCTTTGGTTTCAATATTTTCGCTCACTGATGGGATGTAACAGGTTTGAAGTGTTGAGATTGCATCGCTTGATGCTGAGGAGTCCAGACGATGCCATTCGGGCCACTGTAGGACAAAAGAGACGCTTGCGCAGAGTTCACTTCTGGTTGTTTTGGTGCGAGGTTTCCCTTGCTTGGGTGGAAGCGGATGGCTTGGTCCCGTCGTCGTCCTCCCATCGTCCCTTCGGCTCCTGTTGAAAGGCGTCGTTTGGTTAGGCGGCATTTTTTTCAACCAAATTTGTGAATAAATGGTTGAGGTAAGTAGATGGAAGTAGGTGAAGCAGCTGAACCACTCGTGGACAACGATTGAACAGCACCCGCCGGAACTCCGCGCCGGCCATTCCGCATTCCGCATGGCGGGCGCTCGGGCCGGAGCTCCTGCCCCAGCTCCGTTCTTGCAACGAGGGTCTGGAAAGTCGGGGGGCCTTAGAGAGCAATCGATCTGTTTTCAGTAGCTTGTGGGGATGGACAGATTCCTAAGCACAGACAAATTCAGTTAGGTTTGGTCACTTAGGTTTTGACATGTGTTGACCAATGTCGCCAATGTCTCTGTTTCAAAGCCCGCTGATTCACTGATTTTCCACGTTGATCAACGAAGTATCTGAGGTTGGGACCACTCTGTGGTCCCTCAGACATCCGAGTTGCACGGGGTCCAAGATCCTGCGTCGATGACTCGTGAGTTGACCTAGCATTGGACCATTGGACTTGCCGGGGCTTTCTGCCAAGAGTGACCATGTCGACGACGATGAGGTGCTTGCCAAATGTTTCTGTGAAGTCGTTTCAGGCATTGGTTTCTACCTTGCGAGACGTCGAGGCGGGGTCGATAGTTCACACTTTTTGTATCTTTTTGTTCAATGCATCACAAAGATCACATGCCATGAGGAGTTGGTTGTCGGGTTTCATTGCAGGATCAATTCCTCCAGTGGCTCGAATGGTGCTGGCCTGAGTCTCCTGAGTTTGGTCTACTCAGTCTACTCACTTTTTGGTGCCCCGAACCCCAAGCTCCAGTTGTCCTCCATCACAACGACCCCGCGACTCCGCGACTCCGTTGCCATCCGCAGAGAAAACACGCGCATCCCGACTTCGACGCGGAACCCGCGCATCTCTTCGGAAGCCGCCGCCAGGTTCCGACTCATTGGGTTTGCGCACCTTTTTCTCTACTTCGACGATCCGGATCAGGATGAGGAACGGAACGGAACGAACGGCACCAGCGATAGCCTGCATTTGGCCATTCACAACAATGACGGGCGTAGATTCGTAGATGATCCTCATAGCATCCCAAGGAATTCGAAGGAGATTCCTGGTTCCCATTCTCCCAATTCTTGCCTACCATTCTACTAGTATTCTACTCCAAAACTGCTTAGTATTCGAAGGAGATTCTTGGTTCCCATACCATTCTCCCAAACTGCTTGGTATTCTCCAGTCCGTGGCACCAGGCGGCCATTGCTGCAGCTCGCTCGACCTACTCGGGAGAGTTTGTGTCCTTTGCCTTGCCATGAACTTAGACACGTTGTGGCTGTTTCATCCTTTTTGTATGGAAACAACATGAAACAACCAAAGTTCCAAAGGTCAGGGATTTTGGGGTGTTTCTCTCTGTTGCCACACTGCTTAACTTGCAAACTTGACCAACCGATCAAACTTGAACCACGAGCTGCGTTCGTTCGTTCCTTCCGCTCGTTCCGCCAGGAACTCGCCGGAGCTCCGGAAGGAGTGGATGTCCTTGAGGACGTTGGGCGCGTCGAAGTCCGGGGGGGCGACCCGCTCGGCGGTCGGTGGTCGGGGCGACTTGGAAGAGCTCACGTGGTTGGTGGCGCTTGAAGGACACTGGAAGGAAAGAATAGGAATGCAAAATAGGAAGCGTATAATATATAATATATGTTTGTTCTAATTATCTCAGATGCTAATGATCTCAGATGTATGCCATTCCACTGTGATTTCTTGTCATCTTGGCTCCCGTGACTTGAGCACCGGAGTGAGATTGAGCCACGTTGTCTCTTCACGTTGGCGCCGGGGGCCCGGTGCGACCCGGTCGATGATGGACGTGCGCAGACCCTGTCGGCTGAAAAAGCATAGCGGGGGGGCTGACAGAACGAGTTTCAACCAACGTGAACCCAGGTGCGGACCTCAGAGCCACCGGACGTAGGCAGCGTAGGGACTCGGACGCTAAAAAGTAGGTTGGAGGCCATCGCGGTCGTAGGTTGGAGGCCATCGCTACGAACGGAGCGCTTTGGAAGTCTTGCTCCCAAGTCTTGCTCGTGTTGGAGGTGGATGGCTGGTTGATGTGGATGGCTTTCGATGGGCTTTTGATGGTCTTTCGTTTGGGGGGAGGGTCGGATGACATCCGGGCCGAGGCCTAGATATTTTAGCCAGCCATGGGAGGTGCGTGCCGAAGCAGACCTTCCTGCTGGGGAGTCGATCCAAAGCCAGTGCAACACAAGAACGTGTCCGGTTGGTTTTTCAAGATGTGGATCTTCTAGAGTATATCCTACATGAAATGGCTCAGTCTAACTCTGGATGTTCTTTTCCATTTGAGCCCAACTGTCACACGGCTCGGGAGCCGGCTCCCGATACGTCGTTCGGTCCTGCCGGTACCGGCAGGTGCAAGCTCCTACCTTGCGATGCTGGCCATCGCCGGCTTCTTAGGCGCGACGTGGACGGCCTCCAAGGTCTCCAAGCTGCTCGGCTGAAGTAGAGGTCCGGTCCCGTGAGAGGTGAGAGGTGGAGAGTAGGGGACAGGGGTGAGGGGATGGAATGGCGGATTCCAGGAATGTTCCACATGCATGAGATACAGGTGATCGGTGCAGCCAAACAAAAGGAACCTCAGGAACAGCTGAACAGAGCTGCTGAAAGAGCTTGGACTTCGGCCGAACAGCTGCTGAAAGGAGCTCCGTGTTCCAACAACCCCAACCGTTTGGAACGCTTTCTGTGTCGAGTCCTGCAGACACCACCGGGGAGGCCGCCGGAGGCCACCGGCGGCCGTGTCGTCTCCGGTCCCCCCAGGCTTTTGGGCGTGTCCGACATCGTCCTCGTCATCACGACGGGCGTGCTCCTGGGCCCGGAGTGCGGCTGGCCTGGTTTTCGTTGCTTTCGGCAGGTGCCATGCGGGAACGGGGTTCATGCCCATTTAAGATAGCACTCCACTGAGTCCACTGACCACTGATGCTTATGATGCCATCAATTTGAATTGCAATGATATGCATTATCACGCCCAAATGCATTTGAGTCTCCAAAATTTGTGGCACCCCAAAGCTGGTGACGGTAGAAAGAACTCGACCAACTCCGCAGTTTCTTCAGCAACGCGGTGTTTCAAGCACTTGTCACCTGATAGACCTCGATACGACACCAGGATTTGACTGGAAAAGTATTTCCACTGCAGATTGGTTTGAAGCTTTAAGACGGCCTGTAGGAAGATTGAAACTGGAGATTGGGTAGCAGTTTGTAGATGGAAAATAGCCAGGTTGTTCTGAATGAGGAACAATGATCTGTGAAATGCTCCGATTGCCAGTATCCTTGGCCTCATCAGCAAGGAGTACACCGTTTGCTCACAAGCGAGGTGGGTGCATTTGCTTCGAATTCGGCTGATAGTTGCTCCAACATGAAGTGTAACAGTGTAACAGACTTTGGCCGCTTTTCTTCCACGAGAGAACTATTGTAACTATTGACTGAGGTATTCTGGAGTGATGAAGTTGAGTGCACTTTTTCTCCAAGGCATACTGACTGCGAAGTCGACGACCTTGAATACAAGGCGGGCCAACTCCAGTTACGCAGTGGACGCATTGCTCGACGGTTCCAGCAGTCAGAAAAAGCAGCTTGGCGTTTTGGTGCAAGAAGAGTGCCACGTTGCGTTGTTTTTTTTTCGTCGCGTTTGTTGACTTAGCGACGCACCGGGTTCCGTGGTTGCCCAGATTGCCAACGGTTTGTCGATCGGCGAGGCGCCCGGGGGGGGGGCTTGGTGGAGTGGGGGGCGGCACAGTGGCTCAGCGCTTCGTGGATGGTGTCCAGGATGAACGGTGAAAAGGATGATGGTGAGCTGCGGCGAGCTTCGTTCACTAAAAGGAGTTATCAACCTTTTTCGGAAGCAGGTGGGTTGGAAGATGAGAATTTCAAGTTCGATGCACACTGTGTACAGTTGGGTGTGGCTCAAAAGAGTTGCAATCCGAGAGCCCTCATGTCCAATGTGAAGTTCTGAAGTTCTTTTGGTCTTGCCGGATATTTTCCCTCCACTCAATGGAAATCGAGGGATGAACTCAAACGGCCCCGGCCCCCTTCTTCCGTTTCGCAGATTCCCTTCCCCCATCCCTTCTTTCGCTGGAGGGCCTGCGGGTTGTCCAGCGTCCGTGCGGATCTGACCCGGATCCGGTTCCGTCCGCGCCGGTTCCTGCCGCGCCAGCACCTGGGGCGAATCCAACACATGGACCTCTGCCACGCCGAAGAGTGCGCCCCTCCAGTCCCGACCGCGTCCCGCAGTCGCGTCACGCGGTCGGTGGAGAAGTGTGGTTTGACTCGCCGGGTGTGCGGTTGGTTGCGGTGGTCCAAGAAGGGGTCCAAAAAGGCCGGTTGGAGGCTCAAAAGGATGAAGCAGATTCCCAAGGCTTTGAGACATGACGACCATGTATACTGACGGACTGGAACTTAGAATATGGAATCCGTTTCCCAAGATTTCCCATCTATGTAGCTGTTTTTGTTCCTGGAAGATCTCCGTCTCCATCCTTCGGCCAGTTACCATCATGATGAGCATGGTGCTCATGGGGCTCATGGTGCCAATGACACGGCCCATGGAAATGGTGGCTTGTTCTGCAAGCGGGAGGACAGGAACAAGCGATTCCATCAAGCCCCTGTCACTGTGATGGGACGCAACACCACCCCTTGGTGACAGAAGCACTTCTTTTTCATGATCCCTTCCACAGTTCATGGGTGGATGGTTTTGACATGGTTGGGATGGTTTTGGCAGCCTTTTTCCTTTTCAATTCTCCTGTATTCAAATTCTGTAGTGCATCTGGTCTTGGCAGCATGTTCCGCTCGGTTTCTCTCATTTTTGTCTCAGCTCAACCTTTGGATAAGGCACTCACGGCGAGCACGGCAGCGAGCACGGCAGCGAGCACGGCAGCGAGCACGGCAGCGAGCACGGCAGCGGCGAGCACTCCGCGGCAGGAACCAGCCATACGGGCGAGGAGGCCCATGATGACACCAGTGGGCACCATGCTGTACCAAGCCATGAGGAGTCCCACGACGCCCACGGCGAAGCCAGCCATGAGGAGGCCGGCCATGGCGAAGCCCACAGCGAGACCGGCCACGGCGAGGAGCATGGCGCCTCCGGCCATGGAAGGTGGCTTGGACTCGCGGGGTCGCTGGGGGTCGCTGGTTCATGCGACTGATGTGTGGATGTACATACTCTGATTCACGAATCCTCCAAATAAAGACTGAGACTTCCTCAAAGCTAGTGGTTCGTTTTGAAGATGCCGAACTTCCCACTATTGTATCATTGTACATCATTGTCATATTCTCTCTCTCTCTCTCTCTCTTTCTCTCTCTATCTCTATACTATATATTACAGACTATACATCATCATTTGCTAGTGAAACATGGGGAAACCGTAACCATCCATTCGCCTTTGGCTTACCGCCATGGGCTTTCCCCCTCCATCCCGGCTCGCCCTGCGCCAGCCATCGCCGCCTCTCGGGCGGTGGCAACTACGCGTCCTACGAGGCCGGGCGACGTGGGGCGTCGGAGCGTCTCCCAGTCGGTCTCCGGAGCATCCCGGGGGGTGCAATGACCGATGTCAGGTGTGGATTCAGATGTGTTGTGGCTTTAACAGTCGATGCCCGTGTAGGGCCTCAGACAGTGGCATTCAACAACGATTGCTATTTTTTAATTGAGATATGAAGGTAAGATGAGACAGCGGCAGCGCTTGCAATTCTTCAAAGCGTAGATGACGGCACTTGATGATTTGACGGCACACAAGACGTGGCATGCCTTGAGGAGTGCTTGGTGAAGAGTTGCAAGCAAGAGGCCGCGGGCTAAGCCAGTGGTAGTTTCTCTACCAAGAAGCAGAGTTTCCAAATTTCTAATCACACCCGCTGTTACACATGGAGACTAGCCTAGCTGGATCCTCGCGTACGAGTTCGCGCGCAGTACTCGCGTTGTGCACCGTCCACCGCAGTGGGCCGACTCAGATCTCTCACGAGTGCCAGCTCACGCCTGATGTGTTCACCCTCATCGGCCACGCAGGTGCTCCCGTCCCGTCCGGACACCGGTCAAAAGGTGAGGTGAGGATACTGTAGCGACCAGCGAGAACCGGTGTGGTATTACCTCAAAGTTTTGGTTCACATCGACACAATCAAGGATGGAGAGTGTGAACAGAAGGCACATCCAACATGATTGGACCTCACTCAGAACGATGACCAAAAGTCGAAAGTCTTGATGGCACAAGAATCCTGTCCCCTGCACATGGAGTTTGTCAGGAAGATTTTTTTGATTATTTTAGTAAAATAATGTTTACCACAACTTTGGTTCTCGCTTTTTTTTAGTTGTGTCTTTTTCGGATTCTTCTATTGTCACCAGCTTTTCCCAGTCTTCTGTGCCCTCCATGTGCTGCCACTTGCTGTGATCTTCTCATCTGTTACTTTTACTTCCGCCCCCCCTCGACGCCCACGTCACCGCGGACCCACGTCGGGACCCGCGTTGGACCAGGCGTTGCCTTGATGATCTTCGAGAGTGGCATGCAC